ATAACAGAATTTTTAAAGCATATTTTTAATCAAATTTCGACAAAGCAAACACTGTGGAGAAAAAATGAGTTGTCAAAAAAAGGATATTTTGCATGGTACATGCATAGATTCAGACAGATTCGTAATATTTTGAGCTGTTCTTTTGTGACTTCATGAAAGGAGACTGAATACGTTGCATAAGTTAATTAATACTCGTTTAATCATTTACCCATCTTTAACCAGTTCAAAATTGACCCTTTGTCTTTTTAAGCAGTTTATATGAAATGAAGTATAATCAAACATAATTAACTTTACTAAGGGTTTTTTTTAAAGAAATGACATTTAGAAATTCGACAAAATTACTGAGTACACCTGAGCGAAAGCTGTTCTGTGATGTCTGATGTGCATTAGATTCTAGGATTAGACAATGCGGGGAATGTCCTGCGCTGGTACAGACAGACTTGGAAACAACGGCTCCAAAATTTGTCATGTGAAAAATGTGCATGCGTAGTTTGCCAAATATTTTAACAACCTTCATTAGGGGTTTTCTTTTTAAAACAGCAACCTACCAAGGCAGCACATTTCATGGACGTAAGACGTCGTCGTGGAGCCACTGCAACAATCAAAATGGCAACCAGACTTTTGATTGTACAAAAATGTTAGGTTTTTCGCCTTAATTTATTCCAATGAAGAAATTTGTGAAGCTCATATAAATTTCAAAAACATTGATAATCTATTTACCGTTTCTCTGCTTGAAAAAATTGGTGAATTTAATATGTCTAACAAAATTTTTCTGACTATTTCAAATTACATATTGCCTTGAACTGTTGCTTTTTGACCGCTGTAAACTTGGTCAAATTTAGGACGTCCAAAAATCGCAGGTAAACCACACAAAGCAATTTTCATTTATAAATTTCTTTGCAAAACTTTCCATTAAGTAGGTGCCGTCATAATATGAGTTAGAGTGGTCACAAGCGTGCATTGTAATGGTAACTGGGATATCAACTAATTCCCATTTTTTTAATCTACTTGCTAGTATTTGGTTCGCAACGAAGCGAGCATGGGACCGCAAGCATCTCATTACTACCTTTAAATCCTAGAATTTTTAAAAGTAAAAGTTTTGTATTAATTTGGGTCTTAAAAAGTTATGCTATTTACTTACCGTCTCTGGGTGTTTAATTTGAAATTAACATGACATTTGCGGAATCAGTGAGCACCAAGTATGAAGAGGTTTGGATTTTTTGGAAATAACCAGAGCCACATTGAAGATATAAAGTACAGATAAAACTCCGCGTTTACCTTATAATAAACAAAACGAGAAGCAACACATTTGGAAAACGCCCAGGGAACCGCCCATGTTTCCGTACAACGCCAGTTATTTGAAAAAAAGTTTTCATTTCATAAGCCACAGGGACCCTTACGAAAAACGGCTTCTGTGAGAGAGCGGGTGATGGTCTTTGCGAGGAAGTAGATAGGTGTTGCCTTTTTTAAGTCACGGATGTGCTTTTATGCAACCAGAAAGAGGATTTAAAGCAGTTCTTAGGTAAAACTAATAGGCTGCTTGGTCCGTCCATCAAATACTGCCTAAAAAGTTCAGTTTAGTCACAACAAGCTGGTTTTGTGGTTTTATTACATCATGATAGCTTAAACATTCAAATGCAGCAGCACGTAGCAGACGTCTAGGACATCATCATCCCACGATGCATTTTTTCTTCCTATTTATATTTCCGTAAACAAGATTTTGCTTCCTTCCTGACGGAAATGGAACCGTGTTATTTCAATGAGTTTTTGGCACGCCCTCTTTTGGAAAATACACGTGCTTAATAAGAGCCGTTTTGCGAGCTCGGGATTACTAGCCGGACACTTTTTCCCTGCTTACTTCGGCACTGCACTGCTGTTTTGAGGGCTACCATCTCAGCGACGCAGGTTGAAAGTCGTACTTACTTGCCGAGCACTATGCGTACCATCTGGTGCGTTTTGCATTTGCATGAAAACCCTGCATCGCACTCCTCACTGATTGACTTACAGGACCTCATGGGAGGCTCATCACAGCAGTAGGCGGTACGTGATGTCGACCCAAACTCTTAATAAGCGAAAGTATTTTTAAACATGTAATGTACTCACATCCATGTGTTGGGGATCCACGATTCTCCAATATTGGTTTCTGATGCTATTTACAGTTATTCACTAACATTTGTTTTGCTACACTTTTTATCAAGTCAAGGTCAACCTGACTTGAATTAGTTTGACATCCGGACTGCACGCCGCACGTGGCTGACGTGAATACAGCTTTCTGCTTGAGCTCTGGTCTTGTTCTGGTATTAGCCTGGGAAGGTCGGTTCTAGCTTTCAGCAAGGGACCGGGCACCGTTATTTGAGTGGTCTTCTCTATTGTTACGGGCAAACGTAACACCATGCAAGCTCAGTTTTAATAGTCGCAACGAATAATACAGAAAATAAAACAAATAGACAATTGAAGAAAGCTAACAAAGTAAAGTGTCAAAATCAACAGGTAGAGCTAGTCAAATCTATAATGATGGGAGTCATTTTACAAACAAATATCCACTAGTAATTAACCTGATCTTCCTAATGACGCTCCTAAGACACCTAGTTGCCTTTTTTACTGCCGGTCGGTCTTTTCTCCTTGAACGACAAAACTCAATTTCTATTAACACTTAGAAAGTGGAGATTTTAAATTGACACTGGATGGTTACAAATGCTGCTCAAGCATCATAGTTGGTCTTTACCCGTCAATTATGATTACTTATATTTCTGATATACACCAGGGGAATCTCCGCATGGACGCAAGTCAGATTCCACTTTGGGTAATTTGTCATACATCGCAATAGTGTACAAGCTTGTGCCTTAAGACTTATCAGAGGTTCTAAGACTCTGTCAAAGGTTATTCTATAGGCTATAGGACAGCCTCCCAACATTTCAACTAATTGTCATATACTAGAAATCGGGGTATTTCTCAGTATAAACCGGAGCTTCTAGCATTCTTTCTTTTAAGCACATTCCAAGAAAGTTTTGAATGCTTTTTGTACTGAGATGGACAATATAAAGGTGCATTGAAAAAGATTACTGATAAACGAAATCGTTATTAATGCCCTCTTTGCTTATTAGGCTTTGCAGCAGACCAAAGACCTACAGAGTACTCCAAGATGGCAGCACATCGTCGATAAGTTGAACTACAATTTCTTTACTTAAGATGAACGTGACAGTTAACTACTACCTACATGCCCATTTCGTCAAGGCATATCTTGCTATCTTGCAGATCTTACTTTCAACATCTGAATTGATATCCAAGCAGCCACTAACAGCCGTTAATAGTCTTCCCTTCATTCGTTTTTAAGCTTGTGGGCTTCATCTGACATGATGTGTTTCCATTGTTTCGCACAAGACTTATTTATTTGTGGTACTCAAGATAAATGTACAGTAATTATGAAAATCTTCCCTTATTTATCGCCTCTAAATTATCTTTTACAATGGATGCCACCTACTAAGGAAGCTATTTTACAAAAAGCAAATGTTTTTTTAAGAACCCAGTCTTTTAAAGGGAGGTGGTCAAAAAGCAAATTTTAATTCAATTTATGACAATACATGAGGCGCTTGGTTATACCTGAAGGGACAGTGGCAACCAACGATGAGGTTGTTGGAAGTACCGCGAACCAATAAAATGCTATGAAGTATTTACCCTTCAAGTGTGAATCATCGACTCCAATTCCAGTATGGCCTTACTGCCAGCTCAGAATGAAGGTTAATGGACTGTTATAAATTGACCAAACCGAGTGGAGTTTATGTGGAAGCACAAGTAAAACAAATACCCTGGTTGTTTGGCTGACTTTAAACGATTTTTGTGGCCATCCTATAACACGAACTAAGGGCTGAAAAAGGAGGCAAACACTGCTTCATTTTCTTAAAATCAAATCAAGAGGCTACGCTGACACCTGCTGTTTTCTGACAAGCTATGAAAATAATTGCAGGTTACTTGATTTACCAATTTAAATTAAGAATTAGCAACAAGAAAAAAGTGTAGTAGCTGTACATCTTGAAACAACTTGTATCTACTCTCATGCGTCTTACAGTTGGTTCAGCGTCTTACCAGTTCCTATTTTCAAGGCACTACTACACGCTCCGCTCATGCCGAACTCGACAGATTACTTCGACACACGCTTTGGTGCAGAATTAGACAAAAAGGCTATTCAAAAACGAGGCATCATCGCTCAAAGCTTAAGCTGCACATTAGATCCCTTGCAGTACCCAGAGCCCTAGCAACCGCAAACAAATAATAGTAAAATACGATTTGCTTTTTTAGGCCCATCTGAGATAACTTATTTCCAGCCTGTTTCATCCACTTCATTCAAAGTTGGTTGTGGTTTTTGCATCTCATCAAGATGAAATCACTGAAACCCAATTCGAAGACCTGATCTTCACTATAATACCTGCATTACCCTACCAGTTTCTAGGTTTATTTGAAAATACTCACCAACCCTGAAGTCAACCCAAACTTGATCGGTCCTAAAACAGCAATATTTTTTTTCAAAAATTAGATGGATTCAGATTTATGTGGATGTGAGGTTTGCAAGGTGGATCTTATATTTTTTATTTGGTAAAAATACCTGACATTTCAGTACATCCATCTGAGGCCTTGAGTGGGACATTAGGGTTTCTGACATTTTACTTTTCCATTCGAATATCAGAAGCCCTGCTTTCTTTTTTGGTGGATGCGATGTAAGTTTTTATCTTAGTACGTTTGTTTAAAAACTTGGTCTTGGTCAATTAATAGACTTAAACAGATGTAATTCAAGTTTCGAGGTTTTGAATGTTTTCTGTGTCGGAAACCACAAATCGCTTAGCTTCTCTCAGTTTCACACTGCGTTACCCATTCAAGCCTATCGCGTTATTAAACGCCACGATGGCCAATGGCATCTTCCGGCTATGTTTAAACCAATTAAAATACAACTTATTGACCTTTTAGACCAAAATGAATGCGCCAGTGCCCACGTGGCTAAAAACGTGATGAACTTAAATTCCGTACATTCGCAGTATATTCCGCTGGTTCGTTTTACACAACTTTCGACTGACGATGCTCTTTTCGTATTTGCAATTCCCTCAAGTTTTGTGCGTGGATTCCTGCCTGAAATCGAATCTTCGAATTTCGAATACTTCAACCACTTTTGGCGTCTAAAGTTACAGCGCACATCGCTTCACGTCGGTGCCCATCTTGAGTTGATTATACCAATTCAGAAAGCACGCAATTACAGGGAAGAAAGTTTTATAATATGGCTTGACCTCTCAATCACCGTAATAAATTTGACCCACTTTTCCGACAACCAGACCTTCACGGAAAACGTTTTCTTCAACCCAGAAAATATGAGTCGCGGCAGCAAGTGCCTTGTCGAAGCCTCTGAACTACAGAACAGAAATTTTGTCAATGAATACGGGAAATTATTTCTTGAATTGGAATTAGCCAACCCGACGATTAACTTGAATGTTTTTCTGACGCAGCTTAACGAAAATTGTTTTGAATCGGGCGTTTTTGAGTTTGGCGGGAGCTACTGGAGACTGGGCCTCACAGCGGACCAAGGAAGGCACGCTTTTTTAAGCTTTCGTTGTCTGGAGCCTCGCCACGTCTTTGTGCAATCCATCTCGTTCAGTTTTATTGTAGATTCAAATTTTCACATAAACCAACAGGTAGATCTGCTGATCGGTCCTGAAGAAGAACATATAAGGCTGGCAGACCATATGAATTTGTGTATTCTTTCCTCACTGAAAAGTACCACGTATCGGTGTGTGTTGCCTGTTTGCTTGGCCAACATCAACCTCCTGAAGTTCAGCCTCATCAGCCTGCCACAAGGACTCGAAAACTTATCCCTGTATACAACAAAGGCATTTGACACTAAAGGCTTTGACTGGGATGTTGTTTTTTCAGTGTGCAAAGACCGTCTGTATGTACAACTAGTGCCTCCCGAATCCTCAAGATATCACTTAGACTGGGACACAATTCGCACTGTTGGATGGAGTTGGAGCTTCTGGGATCTGTCTCAGGCGACCACTCGGCCACCTCAGCAGATGTACATATGTCAGCACCGATTTCCATCACTGTGCTGGCTCCAAACAGACAGTTTCGTCCAGAAAGAGTCGATAGACGAGGAAGTTCAATCACTTAGCAATCAAAAGTGCGTGACTGCAGAGGGAACTGAAGGCATCGCATACAATTACGGATCCTACCTGGAGGTATTTAACATATAATGCCTAATTTACTAATTCAATTATGTTATTTTTAACGATAATGCACAAAATCATATTTAAATTGTCAACTAAGTTAGTTTGCACTGCGATATTTTGCGTTACTGTGAATCAACATTTTCCTGAGCCTGTCTACTCCGGACTTTATTATGTAAGAATTAAACACAAAGTGAATTTTGGTTTGGCACATCCTGTCCGGCCAATTGAACACCGATCCCAAAGCGTAAAGATCTACTTTAAACGATGAAGTAGCGTCTTGAGGCATAACTGAAACTTTAGAATCCGACAGTCGAGGATTGTGCGCATCCACATCCAGCTTATCATATCTAGTGAATTTGCCTGCGTTTAAATTTTCTTCGTTTAATTTTTTCTGATGCCGGAAATACATCTAATCTGATTACGTGTACCCGAACCTAACGAATAATACAAGATTTTAGACTAATTACAGCTATTCGGGTAAAAAAATTGGTTTTACCAAGATTGCTGTGACAACCATTACCCTGGTCCTTCTTGTACCAGTCCATTTTCAGCAGAAATCAGACCATAAAACAGCGTTCGGCTATGAGTGCGCAGCCAAGACAGTGTGTGGAAATGCAAAAAGCCTTCAGCGAATTTTGTTTAAAACATTAAACCTCAAACCTCCTGATGTTTTATAAAGTAATTGTCATTTTGTTATTCGTCATAAAGTAGATACAAGTTGGGTTTACTTTATATCGGTTTCGACCGTAAATGACACTGGCCAGCAGTCGCCTTTAAGATGTTGGTGCTGACAGAAAATTCCGCCAATTCATAATTCGTCGTGCAATTGGATACGATTCCAAACCAGTTGCTGGGTGATAGAAAATCAATATGTAGAAAAAAAGGAATCATTTTTTTTCTTCGTCTGAAAATTAAACTTAACAGCACATGGATCAGATATGCCGTCAGTCTTTCCCATTATTACGATGGATTTTAAAGCCCAGAATGTCCATGGAACTTGGTGAATCACAAAAAGGGAGAAATGAATAAGAATGAGAATATAAAAAGACGCCTTCACCTCCGTTTAATTAGCAATCAAAAGACGCACACGGCTGCCAGAGTCCAGAAAAGCAAGAGACACAAGATAGTTAAATAACTACGCTCTGAGATCTAACAACAGTGCGCAAACCCGAAAGATAAGTTAAGGTACGTGATAGTCATCTGACTAGCATCAGCGACTATTGCATGGCTTTGCTGTTTTTAAAATTACAATGTTCGTTCATCATAAGTCAGACTATCAACAAGGCAGGTCCGTATTTGGTTCGTTCTACCGTTTGTTAACCAAAGCCAGCAATTGCCACCAATGACCCCACACCATAATGGAACATGATCGTAACGATCTGGGGAAAGTGAGAATCAGCAGCAAAGACGTCATTTCAGCATCTGACAGACGATGTCTACCATCATATCAATAAAAACGAAGCCAGGAAATCTTTTATTTAGGTTATTGAAGCACACAGACAAAACGAAAAACCCAGTCAATTAAAAACCACTAGTTGTGGTTTCAGAACACACTTAAAGTAAAATACATAAACTGCATTAGCAGACTTGTCCAACCACTCAGGTTTCACCAGAACTGCTAGGTTCTTCCTGCGTCTCTTCGTCGTTCTTTTGGCAGTCTCTGCCAGAGCAGTTGGAAACAACAAAGTCTTTGCACATGCCATTACTACAGACTTTCTTGCAAGTTCCGTCAATGCATCCATAACCGTGGAAGGGTCCGTCGTAACATTCAATGGTATGGCAGGGCCTGAAATCATAGAAGACACCACAACTGCTGCCGTGACAATCACCCCAATAGCCGCAATTGCCGCCATTGCATCGACTTAAAGGTGCGCCAAAGCCCAGTCCTGGATATGCAGAACTACCTTGACGGGAGGAACCGTAATTTGGCCGAAATGAAGGCGCGTTGAATCCAACCGGACTGAATCCACGTATTCCAGGACCTCCGAAACCATTGGCATTGTAACCGGATCCGGGATATCCAGAGCCACCATAGCCGTTGTGATTATACCCGAGTCCACGTTCGCTGGTGCCACTGAATGATCCAGGTCTGTACGCACCCGGGAAGATGACGTGACCGAAGACGGACGAGGCCAAGTAGGACCAAGCGATCAGAATTAGAACTGTCATTCGTGAAGACATTTTGACTATGCATCTGCCAACGCTGGCTTAAATACGCTCGAAAGCAGAAGTGCGTAATTAAACGGAAGTCAATGCCGCGGTTATTTTCAATTGCAGTCATGCACTGACCCACAATATCGACTTCCATTTAATTTCGCACTTCTGCTTTCGAGCGTATTAAAGCCAGCGTTGGCACATGCATAGTCAAAATGTCTTCACGAATGACAGTTCTAATTCTGATCGCTTGGTCCTACTTGGCCTCGTCCGTCTTCGGTC